CGCTGCCCATAACAAACAAAATTGCTCAAAAAGATAAAACGGGTCGGTTGATTCTTTCAAAGAGTAAACCTAAGTCAAGCAACTGCGGCTTTGCCTGAATTGCAAAGTGACCAAGTACAACACAAAAATACAAAGCCCTGCTACAAATTCAAGATTTTGATAATTAATTTGATTTTATACCATAATAACTATGCATAGGTCCATATCTCATAACTCATAACTCATATCTCTCTCTACTCTACCTCAAATATTTTTTCTTCCCGATTTTTCCTCTGTTCAATTCACATTTTACTTAAGTAACTTTTGGCCATTTATGGTTCTAACTGTACACATTGAGTAAAGACAGAACCTACTACAGCAGACCCATTTCTCTGCATCATCACACAACCAACGCCCCTGACTACCCACTACTACTACTATTTCCTAATTCCACTTAAGCCCTTTGGTTTTGAGTGAGGATTATTATTATTCATTCATTCATTCTATCATCAACATATTTTCCTTATGTAGCTCCAACTCCAAGAAAGTCAATGAATGGCATGTTGGCCTTGTTATCACCCACGTTTTCACTTTCCCCAGAAATTGATAGATTGGTAGCTCTGTTGGTGGCAACTGACTCAGATACTGAAACCTCTGATGAGTTTGAATCTGAATAATGGGATTGGTCCACCACACCCTTGAGCTTTCCCATGTGTCCAGCGTTACATGAACCTTTCCAAGCACTAAAAAACTTGCCAAAACCCACATCCCTGGTTGGGGTCATGCTTTCTCCAGATACACCTGCAACCCCACAAATATAAATAAACTTTAAAACATGTAAAATAGTGTTTGTCAAGTGGAACTCATTGCATTACTATGTTCATGAAAAAAATATTAAAAAAATTACAGGGAGACTTGCACAGTGGTCCCAAAATTTAATAACAAACCATGGATGGTCCATCAATTAGACTCATACATGCATTTTATATCATTTGACAAAGCAAAAATTTTGTGCTCAAAATAAATTGTATTGATTTGAGGCATACCCATGAGTTCACCAAAGGCTTGGTGATTGTGAACAGGACCAGGGTTGTGAGAAGGCATCATTGGGGTTGTGGGTGTGGCTGAGGAGGGAGTAAGGGAGAGGTCGGTGGCTGTTGAGGCAGATTCATCAATGATGGTGCTTGAGATGGTTGATTCACTTGCTGCATTATTTGGCAAGGTCATGTCCTTTGAGAGGGTCTGAACTGAGGGCTTTCTCCTTCTGTAAACACATGATTTCTCCCTTTGCATCCTAGCCATGATCACATGCCAATGATTCTTCACTGCATTATCGGTTCTCCCAGGAAAGAGCCTAGAAATCATGGCCCATTTGTTACCGTACACCTTGTGTGCAGCCAAGAGCCTCTCCTCTTCTGCCTCAGTGAAAGCCTTTCGGTTAATCCTGGGATCTAGCTGGTTAAACCACCTCAATCTACAACTCTTGCCTGCAACCACAATTTAACACCCCATAAAAAAAGTTTTAGTCAAACAATGTTCTTGTCACACCCAGATATTAAAATAAAATAATAATAAAATTCACACAAACATAAAAACTATTGACAAAAACCATAGATTTGATCCATAAATATTTTCTTCTGCTACCATTTACCTGATCTTCCTTGAAGATGTTCAGCTATTGAGTTCCAGTTTTGAGGTCCAAATTGAGCAACAAGCTCTTTGAGTTTTGCATCTTCAGCTGGCCTCCAGTGTCCTCTAGCACAAAGCTTAGTTTGCTTATTTTTCCCTGAGCCAGAAGAGTTACCGGCATCAACTTCCTCACCAGGTTTCACAGACAAGCTCATGTTTTCAATCCCAAAGCTCTCTTCATCCTCCTCCTGGGGTTGAAAAACTGAAGAGTTCAAAATCTGAAACTGAAAGGGTGCATCAGAACTTTCAGATTCTGTGCCTGCAGTAGCATGAGTCATCACCCCAAAAGTGTTTGAACCCAGAGAAGGTTGGAGACCAAGGAGCGAAGAAGAAGAAGAAGAAGCAGAAGGATCAGGAGCTGAAGGGAAAATATTCATGTCAGCACAGAACCCAAAACCACCATTATTCAAGTTTAGTGAGTTACTCATTGAAACTGAAGACAAAGAAAAGCAGAAAAGGGTCTAACTTTCACAATGCTGAGGGGAGAAAAGCATTAAAAAACAAATAAAGGAGACAGGGTTGTTGGATGAGAAAAGAGATTGAGAGAGAGAAAAAAAAAATATCAAAAGGGGAAGAAGAGATTCAACGCCATTGTATATTCCCTCTCCCCACCAGCCATGGATGAGTCACAGAAGAGAGAGAGGGAGAAAAATAGTAAGATATTGAAATGAGAAGAAAGAAGGACAGGTTTTTAAAGAAGAGTTCAGGCCAGTTAAAAATTACTTTTTTTTCACTGTTGAAATTAACTCAAAGCGAGGGAAAGTAATAATAAATTTTATAGAAAAATTAATCATATTAGTTTAATGAAATTTTTTATAATTATATCTTTTATTTACATACTCAAATTTGAAATTTTTTGATATTACTAACTCTAGCTGTTAGTTAATTATAAACTCAGTTTTAATTTTTACAGAATGTTTTCTTAGAAAATACTAAAAAAGAAAAGTAAAAATATAACCCTCACGATTTTGTTCACTCTGTTTGCTTCTCTCTCTTCTGTGGAAATGAGATCAGTGGGTCCATTGTTTTCAGTTTTTCTGTTTCTAAGGAAAACCATTAAATAAAGCAAGGGGCTTCTCTCTTTAGGAAAATCCATGATAGGAGTGTGTGTGCATGCAATTCGAGAACCGCTCGTGTGGGTTGTCAGTGTCACAGAGCAGATGCTTGGTGTTGGTGTTTTGAGGTTGCATGTTTTTTTCCTTCTCAAAGCCTTCCTTCTCGGGTTTTGGGGAAAACTGAAAAATATATTTGTTTGGTTGTGAAGACTCTTGCAATTGAGAAACCAGAGACAACAAAGACTACTTAATTTGCAATGTGTTAAACACCGTTACAAATACGATAATAATACTTTAAACAAACTTTAGTTCTCAGATATAATACAAGAAGAATCACTGCGGATCAATTTAATAATAAAGTAACGAGATAGTAAAATAATATATATATATATATATATAATCTTAAATTTAAATTTTAGTGTTTTTTATTAAATAATATATAGAATCTTAAATTTAAATTTTAGTGCTGTATTATAATTTTAATAAATAAAAAATAATACAATAGGATAATAAAATATGAGAATAATACAAAAAGTATGATAAATTTTAAGTTTATTTTATTTGATATATATCTCACAACAAATCAGATGATAATAAAGTAATTTTAATTAATTTAAAATTTATAAATTACGAAAATATAATTTTATTAAATTCTAGAGAAGTATTTATTTATATACGTAATTTTTTATTTAAAATAATAAAATTATATAATTAAGACTTTTAAAATTATTTACATAGTTAATTTTCTTAAAATAATAAAAATTTATCAATAAATTTAAAAATCTTATATAAAAATGAAGTATTGTTTCAGTTGTGTATATTTTATCTTTAAAGTTTTAACTAATATTTTAGTATGTACAATATATAAGCTAAATTTTTATTATATAATCAAAATTTATAATAAATAATATATAAATAAATATTAAGTTTAAATATATAAATTATATTTAAATTTTATATAATATATATTTTTACATATAAATATAGTAAATAATTTATATTATAACATAAGATAAATAAAAATTGAATTAGAGAAAAATAAAATAAATTTTTAAAAATGTTCTCATGCTACACTATTAGAATTTCTCTTATTACATGCGATTTTTCTTGCGAATTTTGTATTAAAATTCGCAGCAAACATTATTCTTACAAATTTTTCTACGAAATTTTATTTGTAGGTAACATCTTCGTGAATAATATGTTTTTGCGAATTTTAAAATTCGCAAGAAATTTTCTTGCGAAAAATATTCGCAGGAAAGTTTCCTGCGAATTTTTTTCGCAAGAAATTCTACAAGAATATTTTTTACGAAAAAAACTAAAGAAATTACTACAAATTCTATCAATAATTCTTTAACTTTCAAATGTTCATAATGAATTCATCCGAAGCATTAACATGCAATACATAATTTTTTAAATTCTAATATCGTAGATTATATAAGCCTAACAGTCAAACATACAAATCAACTTGTAAGGTAAGTGTTGCTCTAACTTATATACTCTTTAATTATTTTATTTTCAATCGATGTGGGACTTGAAGTTTTTTTAAAGTATTAAACTTATAAATTTAAATATTTTTTAAATTTTTCCTGGAAATTAAAATTGGCAGGAAAATTCGTAGGAAAAGTTACCTGCGAAATTTTTCTACCATTTAGTAAGCATTAGTTGCGAATTTATTTTTGCAAGAAAATCTGCAAGAAACAAAATAAAATTCTTACAATATTTTCTACAAATTTTTACCATAGAAAAAAAAATTCTATGATTTTTAAAATTGTAGCAAAATTTGCAAAAATTTCTTGTAAATTATTTTTCATAAAAAAATTTGTAAAAAATATCTGTAAATTATTTTTCGCAAATAAATTCGTAAAAAAAATTTGTGAAATTATTATTGCAAGAAAATTCGCAAAAAATTTCTGCGAATATTTTTCATAGAAAAATTTACAAAAAGATGACACTTTTCTAGTAGTGCTATTTAACATACAGGGGATCAATATTTTTCTTCAAATTTTAAAAATCATATATAATTTAATTATAATTTAAAAAATTACTTTTATTTCCTAAACATTTTTTTATATAAAAGTTGATATTAGGACAAGATAACCTCTTTAAAAAAGATTTCATGAAATTACGGATTACTGCTTCATCCTTATCACAAATATGCACAGAAAGATATAAAATAAAAGGAAAAAAAATGAATTAAATGCCAAATTTTAACAAGTAAGAACAAAAGGACTTAATCAAATATAACATGTTACAGCTCTTTTTTTTTTTTAATATATAGTATAATATACAAACATATTTTAATTAATTAGAAAGAAAGGATTTGTTAATTATATTTTCAACACAAAGTATAAAATGAATGAAAAAGAATAAATATTTATTACATTTCTGTAAAAAAAAAATATTTATTACATAAAAAAATAAATAGTTAGTACTAATATTTTAACTAATTTAATGATTAAATACAAAATATTAAATAAATTTTAATTAATATGTTTTATCAAATTTATTGTGGAAACACTTTTTAAGTCAAATTATTTAAATTTAATATAAAAACTGAAAGATATAAAATACCAACACAATACATTGAGAAAATTTATATATTTTATAATTTTATTTATAATCTTTTAATTATAGAAGTTATAATCACGAAAAGTAATTTTTTATAATGTAAAAAAGTGTGACTTATATAGATTAAACATAAAGAATACGTTTACAAGAGAAAGAGAAATTGTGATTTAAGTAAAATAAAAAAAATACATTCAATATTTTTAAGAAATTTGTCGGATCACCTTTATTACTGAAGAAACTATTCACATAAATATTAAACTTTCGATCTATAATAACTGTATTTTAAAAAAAATTTACACATAAATTATTAATAACAATGCATGCTTTAATTTTTTTTTATACATTTTTATTATTTCCTTGCTCTTGCAATAATTACATTTTTAATATTTAAAAAAGTATTCTAAAATGATAAATGTACTTACTTTTCACTGTCATACTTCATCTGTTGTCTATTATAAATATAAATAATTAATTTTATGTATATTAAAAAGTTAATTATTTACATTAAATTTTAGTTTTTTTATTATATGCTTCCTATATTATTTTTGTTGTAAATATTAAAAGAAGGAATGTAATTCAAATGTCATACATTAAAGGAAAAGTATTTTTTTAGAGAATATCTTTAAATGAGATAAAAGTAGTTAAATTTATCTATATTTAAAAATAAAATTTTATATTTTTTGTCTTCTAATAAAGAACAAATAGAGTATTAATTAATATTTTTTTAATTTGTCGGATCATAAATAATTCGATTAGCACAATTTAAAATAATGTATTTATTAGAAGGTGAACTATTTTAATAATATATTACGGGATGAAGGGTAAAATAATCATTATCTGGATAAATGCACTATTTTTAATAATAATAAGTGAATAATTAATACGAAATTGAAGAACGAGAACCTCATCAATTATTTTGAAAGTTTTTTAAATATTAAAATTACGGTTAATTTAAAACAAAGGGAGTAACATTTTTAACTTTCAAACTATTAAATATTTCAGTTAATGCTTCTTGTATTAAATGATGAGATAATTTCCTTTTCATATCACCTGTTAATAATTGAAATTGAATAATGAGAAAATTTATTTTTTATATCTTCTATCAATCATTGGAGACTGATATTTCTTTCCAAGAGCAAATCAATAATTGAAATTAAATAATGAGATAATTTTTCATATTTTTTTTATAAATCATTGAACACTAATATTTCTTTCCAAGACGAAAGGTACATCACTGAATAAAGTTTATTCTCTCTTAATAAAATGTTGTGATCAAGTATAATAAACAATAAGTTAAATGTGTATTTATTGTTTTTATTTCTCCTTAACAAGCAATTAAGATAATAGTTAATCTTTTGAAGAAAAAAAATATCAAACCACTGTAACGTCATTATAAAGTTTGGAAAAAAAATTATAAAACCATTGTTAGGACGTGGCTTTGGTTTAGGTTGATTTGAAATTTTATGGGTACGTAGATAATTTGTAAGTATTTTTATACATATTTATAAAACACCAGCCTTTATACGATATCAGCCTTTTTTTTTTTTTTTTTTGATTCTAAAGTTGCTATGGGCTATAGCGACACAATGTCGATATGGTCCATAGCAACACCAACCTTTTTTTTTATTTTTTATTTTTTTCTGCCTCAAATTTTTTTTTCAAATTTTTTGTGTTTTTGGTTATTGGGTCATTTTTTTCTCCAGATTTATTTTACCAGTTTTTTTTTAAATTTATTTTGTAATTCATTTTTTTTTATTTTCCTACATTTTTTCCTTTCACTTTTTTGTGTGTGCGTTTTTTATTTATATTTCTTTCCACAATTTTATTTTTTTGTGTTTTTTTTATACTAGTTTATTAAAAACAGGGTTGGCATTTTTTTTTCTTTTTATTTTAATTACTTATGAAAAATAAAACTTTGTTTTTGAACGGAGACACATCGTCCAAATTCCGATCTCATATGATGGAACCAACTTCTCCATAAGAGCTAGTGGTTGATTCCTTCTCTTCTCCAAGGTTGATATG